TATATATATATATCGTGGTATCTGCTTACGCGACGCTTACTGCTAACAGTAACGACAAAAATTGTTCATCTGTATCTGCACCGCTTGAAGGATACACATCTACGCGGATTCATACCTACGGAAGGAGGGAACCGAAAGAACAGAGCGGTAAACGGCATCTTCGAACAAAAAATAATACTGTAAGGCACAACAGCCGCAAAACGCATGGGTGCCGCACCGAGCACCGAGGTTCTTCGCGCGGCGCCGTTTTGTCCGACGCGCAGTGGGGCTGGTCGTGTCCTCGCGTTGATCCCCGTGACGGAAGAGTTCTTCCCCTCGCCCGATGTCCCACTGTTCGTGCAGTTCTATGAGGCCCGCACCGACCCGTACGTGCGTTACTACCTGCGCAACCACTGCTTCTATCCCCACAACACCAGTTTAGGCGGCAACAGTGCCGACGAGAACGACACGAACGGCGTGCGGCTTGACCAAATTCCCCCCGCCATGTGCACCAGGAAGGAGTACTACGACTGGTGTATGTCAGCTGTGGGGAGGAATCGCCGCTACCACACCAACGCAGAGTTGCTGCAAGACTACAATGCAGTGCCGTCACGACGGCACTTGATACGCCCTGTTCCCTGCGCTGTTGTGTTTCAGTACGACGATGAATACAACGCGCCGGAGGGGTGTGTGTCGCTTGGGGACAAGGTCGTTCGCGTCATCGGCGGTATCGGCTGCCTGGAGAACTCGCCCGAAAGCACCAGCGGTGGCGGCGGCAGTAACCAAGACGAGGCGGAGTTGACATTGGAATTGACGATGTTCGTTCGCAAGTCTGCAGGAGACCATAACATGGTGCGTGTGATGCTGCTTTCGGCGTGGCTTCTCCACGAGCACTGCGTGAAGATATGCGGTCTGCCATGTGTCCCATTGCTGTCTGTGACGTTGCGTGGGCTGAAGACAAACATCCCGTTTCTCTGCTTCCTGCGTGAGATGCGGTACCGTGTGGGGCTCCTGCAAGGCAACACGGCCAAGCACTGCACGTGGATCGACGGCGCCTTCATATGCAGCTGCTTCACCGCCTCACACGCGTCGGAATTGTGTGAGGCCTTTGCTCATCACTACCAGCTGCTGCTGAATGCCAAGTCACGCGTGAAAATGGACACTGCACTGTTACCGGTAGCGAATCGCCTGCAACCCGCGCAGGACGGCGGCGATGTGAGCGTTAGCGCTGACATGGAGGACACAGTGTCTTTCACCCGCATGCCTAGCAGCGGACGCTTTAAAAAACAGTCCTTCACGCTACGTGGTGTCATTGATACAGCGAACACTGTCATCCCCGAAATGGGCCGCGGTACGGAAGATGTGTACCTCGTCTGCACTGACGCAACTGTGCGTATCGAACGCAGCGAGGATGGCACCGTCAGCAAGGATAGCCTTGACCACGACGGTGGTGAGGCGATGGTTCTTCAGGCCGCGCCACTCAAAGTAAAGCGTGGGGATGTTCTTCGCTTCTTCCCCGACGATGCGGCGGCGCGGCAGCCGTCGAACAGCCACTGCATGACAGATACCATCACCACTCCGCTCGGGTGTGACAAAACCTTTGGCAAGGACACCACCTGCGAGGGAGAACTCAGGCGTGGCACGTGGATAGTGGACACAACCGTCAACTTGGAAAACGTCCTCCTGGCGCTCGTCCACGATGAGTGCAAGAACGCGCGGGAGGCCCCTGCCAGTGACCCGCACTGGCTACGCTGCAAGGAGACAGGTGACCTTGTGTGCGACGGCAATTTTTATATTTGGTACTTCGAGCGTGGGGGCGTGACGTACTACTACGGCACTCTGCCGAAGTTCGCGAACAGGTTAAAAAAACGCCACGACACACAGAGGCGTCGTCCTCCCATCACTGCCACACTGACGAGTGATGCAGCAACAGCAGAAGCAGCATCAGCAGCAGTAGCAGCGACTTCGAGATGCGATGAAGCGGCCCAATTCCCTGCGACGACAGACGCACTGCAGAATGAGCTGCGGCCTCAAGGGGGGCCTTTGATGGGCCACAAGGATCTCTTTGAAAAGCAAGGCGATACCGCTGCTCAACAGTTTCCGGCCATCGTGGGCAATGTGAGCCATACAACACCTTTTTTTGACCACACTGCACTACCTTCAGTCGACGTGATGCAACAACATTACACAGAGGGATCGCGCTTCATGCTTGTGCAACCTGCAATGCCCTACAACTCCGTCTCCGGTGGGTCGGCGGGTGCACCTTTCACGGCGGCTCAAATGCCATATTATCAGAGCGGCATCAACAACTGTGCAGTGTACCCTTCCACGACCTCATCGCTGCTGCACTGCATGCAGCCTGTGCACCCACTGCAGCTACAGTGCCTATCGCCGATGCAGCCGATGCAGTACGTACCATGGATGCAGCCTCTACAACAGACACCGGCGGCTATGTACGCCTATTTTAACCCTGCAGCGCCGCAGACACAACCACAGCAGCTGCAGCCTGTGCCGTTCATGCATCTGCGGCCCCCGGCAGCGGCATAGCCTCTGTGCAGTGCGCCGCTGCTGCCGCAGCCAGCCGCCTACTGGTGCGGGATCTAGCTGAAGGATGCAAGGAAATACAACAAAAACAACAAAAATGACATCAACAACGTCATTATCAACAAAAAGGAAAAAAAACGAAAGCTACTCGCTGAACATTGCTGCTGCTGTTTCACGGACCCCATCATAATGTGGCACCTTAGTGGCCTGGTACCCATCTTTACAATTCTCTTTATGCGTGATGGAGCTCTCCTCGAGGCCCGTGTTTGTGAGAGTGTCTGTGTCTCCTTATATTATTTTATATGATGTGGGCTAGTGCAGCAACAGCAGCAGCAGCAGCAGCAGCAACGCTAATAACAAGAACAGCGGCAGCGAGGAAATTAACACTAAAAAACAACTGCATAGGGGGGGGGGAGTTCCAGCCGAGGTGGTCATCACTGCTCTCCACTCTCTTTCCCAATTCAATCCGTCTTAAACAAGAAGGCGCAGGGGGTGTGAGTTCGGGGTTGTGTATTGGGCGCCTAACATCCGAACTCGTGAATAATGGGCGTCGGTAATCAACCAAAAACAATGCAAGAAACAATGTATGAAACAAAAATCAACAGTCAGACAGATCAACACAGTAAACGGTGGGGCAAATATATATATATATATATGTGTGTGTCGATGTGTTATTGTTATTATTATTATTAACAGGAGGATTTCGCCACGGTGTGGAAGCATAGCCGCCTTTACAGCCGCCGTGCCACCCTCGAGCCATACGGACCCACCTTTGCTCCTCATTCACTGAAAGAGGAGCAAATTACCAGAGTCGAGATCCTTTTTTCTTTTTCACACACACTTTGTGTTTCACTTCATCTTCTTTGTTTTTTTTTTTTAAATTTGCCTTTGACTTCATTTCCTTCCCCCTTTTTTTTCGCGTTGCTTTTCCCGTGATCGTGCTGTTTCCGCCGCATTTTCTCTCCACACGCCACCTCCGCGTGGGAGTTTCATTGCGAGGGGCGGTGGCACAGCAGCGACACGACGGGGGCGGCTACCCATCTCGGGCGAACACAACACCACGCTTGCGCTTATGTGTCTCTCTCTGGGGGCTAACGGAGGCGTGGCGATGAAAATGCAACACGGTGTGAAAGCGAAAATGATTTTGTACGAATGAGCCCATACACACATGCACAAGCAGAAACATTTTTCCACTTTTCTCGTCTCTACCAGAGGGGGAGACACCGTCAACGTGCGCGGTATGAGCAAGAGTTTCTTTATCTATTATATGTTTATAATTTTTATGTATTCATGTACAAACGGCAGAGAAACAAATTTTGGGGTGACGACCCACGGGTTACTTTGTGTTCCCCCCCCAGCTGCAGATTAATCGGTTCGGGGGGAGGGGGAGTCAATAGGAAGCAAGTGCGTGCTGACTATTTGGCGTGTAGGGGGGCATTCCACGTGCATGCACCCCTTCTCACATCTCGACGCCCTGAAAGAGATGAGAAGATTTACATGCATGCATCTGGTATTCTTTCTCCCATCCTTGGACCCAGCAGCAGCCGCAGCAGCAGGGGTGGGGTGAGGGGAACTAAAGTATGGAAGGGGAGGGCAGTTATGAACGCCAGGTAACCAGCCGGAGCGAGAGAATTAGTGAGGAAAAGAAATATATATATATATATATATATATATATGTATGCTTGTCATTGTCTGTGTGTGTCCTCAGTTACACACAGACGCGCCACCACACGGACGCTNGCAGCAGCAGGGGTGGGGTGAGGGGAACTAAAGTATGGAAGGGGAGGGCAGTTATGAACGCCAGGTAACCAGCCGGAGCGAGAGAATTAGTGAGGAAAAGAAATATATATATATATATATGTATGCTTGTCATTGTCTGTGTGTGTCCTCAGTTACACACAGACGCGCCACCACACGGACGCTCACAACCCCTTCAAGCCACAGCGCTGCTTGTGGGCGGCCCGCAAGCACGCGTAAATACCAAGCAAGCTACAACCGAACACGTTACACATACCCACAAGAGAACAGACGACAATAAAAGAAGAAAACAAAACAGAATGCCCCCCCAAAAAGAACAACAACAACAAAGAAAGAGAATGGAAGGCGAAGCAGGGCACATGGAAGACGGGGAAATTAATGCGCTCTGAACACCATGTGCTCTTGGTCCGCGTTTCGTTCTTCTTTTGTTGCTTTGCCATTGGCACCGTTCTACTCCCGGCATCTCCCTTGTCTATTTTTATGCCGCGTTGCTTTTTGTGCCTGCTGTTCCATGCGCTTCTTTCTCTTTTTTTCCGGGTGCTCTCTCAGTGTTTTGACACGTCGTCTTTGCCGTGGACTGTGCGCGTCTTCTCGTTTTTCTTCCCTGGTTGCCTTTGTTGCTTTCTTTCTGCCTCGCCCTCTCAGCTTAATCTGTTTCTCTCTCTTTTTTTTTTTGCTGCAGATGATGATGCTTTGTCTTCGCTTCATCTCCCCCCCCTCTATGCTCTCGATTGCTTTGCGTACACGCGCACCCACGCACATACCCCCAGAATGATAATCGTCATCATTGTCTCTCTATCTCTGTCTGTGTGTGTGTCTGTAGGCGCGCTAGACTGGGCCAATTGACCTCGGTGCATTTGTTGCATGCTCCTTTTCTTTTCTTTCGTGCTTCGAGTTTACGGTGGGCGGCATTCGTGCGAAACGCTTCTTTCAAATGACTTTTGTTGACTCTCGTGTTTGTGTATTTCTGCTCCTATTCCCATCTTTGCTTCAATTGTTTGCCTTGGTTTGCGGGAACAAGAATTTCGCTTTCTTTAAAAATATGTTTGTTGCTTTGCCACTGCTGTGCCGCTTTCTCAGAGCTACCCACGCAGACACAATTTCCATTGTCTCTCTATCTATCTATATATCTATCTCTCTCTCTCTCTATATATATATATGTGTGTGTGTATAGGGTTGTGTATGTGTAAATGTGTGCTGCTCGCCTCAAGGAGAACCTGGGGAATGTGTCTAATGTCTTTTTCTGCGAGGGAAACGGTAATGATGATGGTAATGCATTCGAAGAGTACGAGGAGAGTACGAGGAGCTTGAGAGGGAAATAGCAGCAGAAGCAAGGAAAATAGAGCGGGGGAGACATCTCTCTTTCGCACACACACACACACTCACTGCCTCACTCCCTCCATAAGTGCCGGTGGCAACGAAACCAACTCTGACGGTGGACATATCGTTGTTTGCACGGCGCTGCTACGGGCTGAACCTTTCCCTTTGTATCTGATTGCTCCCTCTTTCCCTGTGTGTGTACTGTCTGAAAGGAGAGGCTAAGGGAAAGAAGAACAAACCCCAAGGCACATTCACAGTCAGTAAGAAAGCCAGGTCTGTGGTAGAGTGTGTGCTTCACTCTCGTCAGTTTTTGCACGTTTCACCGATCAAAACACACACACACACACACACACACACACACAAAAGTTGCAACATAAGAAAGAAAACAGTCAAAACAACAACAAAAATACAAAACCAAACGAAGTGAATATTTATTGGGCGCTGTCCAGGCCGAAGCACGACAAACAAGCCCCAAAAGGGCAGAGAAGCTCAACACTGTTACACCAAGGACGCTAAACAGGCGTGAGCAAAGAAGATGGGTGCAGTCCCAAGTCGCGAGACCCTCCAGCGCGGTCTCTACCAGCTGCCCGACTACGGCCAGCGGCACCGCATAGTCCTCATCCCCCTCACGAAGTCGTTTTTCCCCTCCGCCGACTGTCTGCTGCTGCGGCAACTCTTCGACGCTCGCTGTGATCCGTTTGTCCGGTACTACCACGCCTACGACGAGCACTTTCGGCAGACGGAGCAGGACAGTGCAGCTGGCGCCGTCGAAGATGACGTGACTCACACAGCGGAGAGGAATGGGTGGCGCGCCGATGCATTCCCGTCCATGGAATGCACACTAGAGGAGTTCTACGAGGCGTATGTCTGCCGTGCAGGGGAGTCGTTGCTCTTTGACACCGATGAGGAGATGATGAGCGCGCACGCGAAGCGTCCGCACCGGCTGCGGCCTGTGCCGTGTGCTGTGGCGTTTGCGTACAACCGTGAACCCGCTACGGCACACATGGACCGCGGTAAGCAGGGGGCTAGCGGCGGGCTGCCCCATCCACCGGAGGACGCAGAAGGCGGCGAACCGGGCAGTACTGTACCCCTTGAATTGAACCACACGTACTCCTCACCAACAAGCGATACCCCTGCACTGAATGAAAGTGTAGAGATTTGCGGCTGGTACGTTCAGGCGGTTGGCTTCGTCGGTGACGTGAATGCCCTTCGCGTGGACGTGCTTGGTGATGATCTCTTTGAGAGTGATTACCAACTGCAGATCTTCATGAACAAATCTGTCGGTGACCACAACTCGATGCATGTCCTCTTTACTGCTATCTACACCTATGTGGCGCAGTGGAGAGGAGCTGTAATGGCAGGAAAAAGGGGAGATGCTGGTGCGCTGCTTCCCACGATGATACAACGGGAGCAAGAGAAGGAACATTCCTCATTTCCTGGCGATAAAAACTGGTCAATGCCCCCCATGAGGTCTGTGAGTATGCTGAGCAGGCGGGCGAATGTTCCGATGTTGTGCTTCCAGCGCGGTGTAAGGGCTATGCTCATTGGTATGGGCTTTAGCAAAGAAGTCAAGAGTAACAGTTATAATCTAGGCAGTAGCGGTGGTGAGGGCGGCATGCGTGTGGGCGGAGGTGCCGGTGACGATGCGTCTCGGCGTACAAGCAATTATACAGCTTCGGGAAGAGTTGAAGCAGCGTCAACTGGTGCAGAGACGGAAGGGGAGGCAAATATGCGATATCTTGATCAGATTGCCGCGGAAGATCTCATGATCACATGGGTAAAAAACGACTATGTCTTCGCGCAGCTCTCTGAGGATGTTGCGTCTTGTTCAGTTCGTTATGTTGTGGAATGCATTTGCCGTCATGAGCACCCTCTGGACTCGTTGCGAGCGCGGCGTATGCTTCTTCAGCGCTCGGAAGGAGCGGACGCAACAAACATTCAGCGTTCGCCACTTCGCACCGACGGCAGTGGCCAAGATACGACGTCTTCACCTACTTCAGTGCAGAATATGGATGAACCTGTCAGCGAACGGGCAATTCGAGCAGCGAGAAGCATGGGCATTGCTGGCATTGCCGTCCCGCAGCTACGGGAAGAGTCGGTGGTTGTCGAGGAGTGGCCTGAAGAGGGAATGGACTTGACTGCTCTCGTCAACAGCGCCGACGCGAATACACATTTCTACTGGGTCATTGGAAACTCTGAGGCGGCACGGGTAAGTGCTGCCGCAGCGTTCGCAGCGTGGGAGGCGAGCGGGTGGCCCGTTGATGTTGACAATTCCAGTAACCAAATCATTTCTGCAGGGGACACCGCTACGCCACCGATGATGGCGATTGGTGAGTCGCTGCACCTTTTGGCACTTCCACGTAAGGCGGATGAGGAGGAGACGGTGCGCAAGGAGCTACCACACACACAGCGCGTGCTGCGGCGTGGCTTCTTTCCACTGGAGGAGCTCCTGCTCGCTGAGCTGCACAACGCCTGCAAGTGGGCTCGAGAGGCGGATGTGTACGCAGAGAATTGGGTGCGCGTCAAGGACGCCGAGCAGCCGCCCGCATCCGTCCGCCTCACGCCGGCGCCTGACGGGGCAGTCGACGGCTCAACGCCGGCTTTGGCCGCCGCTGTGGCGCGACTCGTCGGCGATGGCCCGCTGTGCCTCTGGCGTGTCCCGCTCAGCACCGGTGCGGTGCGCGTTGTGGCCGTCACACCACAGTTTGCAAGGCCTCCGCGGAAGAAGCGGGTACGACGGAGACCTGCACATCGCCCATTGAACGCAGAGCCGAAGGTGGGGACTACCACGCCACAAACAGCCACCAAACCAATCGCAGTGACAGTGCAGCCTGCCACGGCAACTGTGGACCCCTGCAGCCACGCCTCCCTGTCGTTACCGACAGCGTTGCCGGTGCCTGAGCTGCCGTCACCGACAAGTGTGGATCCGTGCACGACCGCGATCCCTGTTCCCGACGGACGACATTTTTTCCAACCCAGCGGCCCTTCGCACCTGCAAGTGCAAGAAAAACAACAAGAACAACAACGACGACAAGAACGACAGAATCAGCTGCAGTTTCAACAACAACAACAACAACAACAACNACATCATCATCATCATCATCATCCACGGTATGCAACACCGCCTCCACCACCCCTCCGCCACAACCAGTATATCCTTCAATACCACAGTCGCACAATTAGCGATGGCATTCGGGTATCGTTTCGCGGGTCAAATGTAGATGCANCCGCCACAACCAGTATATCCTTCAATACCACAGTCGCACAATTAGCGATGGCATTCGGGTATCGTTTCGCGGGTCAAATGTAGATGCAGGAACATCACCAAGACTCTCATTGTGCAGCAGAGGTACGAAGGACGACCATTGCGAAGTTAAATCAGGCGACGATGCTTCTGGATCCTTCCATCGGCGCACTCATACGGAAGGTTGCTACTTTTCTCCACTGATGCCCACTCCACCACCCACGTGGGATAGTGGTGCCGCCTTTTGGCAACACTCAGCACCTGACGACCGGCTGCATGGCGCCCCGCCGTCTTATTATAACGCGAGGGCCCAACCGCAACTTTCTTCATCCCCCCCTCAGTCTATTACAACATTCCCGCGGTTAACTGCCTTTGACCAGCGCTGCTTCGGACCACCATGGGGAGCGGACCAGAGCGCCAGCAGCTGCTGTGAGAGCGGAAGAATGTCTCCATCAACCACTCGTTTTCAAGATCCTCAGTGTTCGATACCGCTCATCCCGGATGGAGATCGAATAGATGAAGATGGATACAGTAACACCGGCATTCACGTGACGGTACGCCACGGCTTGCCGCACTACCGCACTCCGAGTTCAATTAACTACAGTGACACCGCAAGCAACCAGGAAGCCCCAGCGACAAGAGTGAGTCCGGCCGGCACGTCAATGCAGCGCCACGTGCGCACCGGAACGTTCCACTGGGATTGGAAGAAGTCAGAGCAGCAGGAATATAAGGACGTTCTGTAGTGTACAGACACGCAGACATGAAGGAAAAAAAAACATTACCACAGTGGCTACCCCCCCCCTTCTTTCAAAAGCAAGGAAAACAAAAAGCAATAGGTCTTGGGCATCGTGTGTGGCTATTTGCAAGGGAATACACACACACACACACACACAGCAACAACAACAACAACAAAAAGACAAACAGAATGTTTCTCTGCTGGACAACACCAAACAACGATTACGTGCCCTACGTGTGTACTCACTTTCCCTCTCTTTTTTGTCTTATTCCTGTTCTATGCGGTAGATTCGGTATAGAAGCGACACAGCCTGTACTAGGGAGGAGGGAAAACACTCGAAGGAGAGCGGTAGCCAGGTCTCACGCTTAAGAGAGACTTTCGCGCCCGGACCACAACTTTGCTTATTGTGACACACTCACGCAAAGCACGCGCAGACGCACACCACACCACACCACACCACACCACACCACACCACACCACACCATTCAGTACATTTTTTCATTGCTTTTTTTCGTTTGTAGGAGTGTGGTCACTAATACAACCGCTAGCACCTATTCTCGGCGAGTGCGTTCGTAAGCAAACGAAGAAAATAAGTTGTCTTTTTCTTTTGTGAGTATTGAACCAAAGACGTGTTATTATCCCCTTGCAACACTTTGGCAAGCAAAGCCAAAAGAAAGAAAAAGTGAGAAGGCAACACGGAATAAGAAACGGATACCCGGAAAGGAATTGCATAGGACGAAAAGCAACGAAGCAAAAAAACAAACAAACAGAACCAACAAAAAACAACAACAACTAAGCAGCATCCATATATATAAAAAATATATTTATTCATAAAAAATATATGGGTGCTGTGCCGAGCCGTGAGACGCTGCGACGTGGACTATATGTTGTGCGCCAACCCACTAGTGGAAGCCACGGCAGCAGCAAAAAACAAGATATTGTGTTGATCCCCCTCACCAAGGAGTTCTTTCCATCGCCTGACTGCGCATTGTTCGTGCAGTTTCACAGGGCTCGCTGTGACGCCGGGGTAAACTACTACTTTCGCCGCCCCGGAAACCCCGGCGACCTCAGCAGGATTCCAGCAACCGACAGCAGCGACGATGACGTATCGTACCCGTCGCGAGAGGTGCTGTACCGCGGCGTCGTCGAGCGTGTGGAGGAAATGCTCTTCGACACCGATGAGGAGATGCGGCAGGCCCATGAGCGTGCACTGGGAGGGGCTGCTGCTGCAGCGACGGGCGACGCGAAGAAGCGAGTGCTCCCCATTCTATGCGCTGTCGCCTTCCGTTACGACCCCAACAAACTTTCACAGCAGCTAGGCGGCGGGAACAACAACCTTCAGCCACACTTACAGGCTGTGCTGGAGCAGGGCGTCTTCCTCTGCGGGTCCATTGTGAATATTGTCGGCTGCTTCGGGTTTGTGCCTATGGAGGTGGAGGGCGTGCAGGTGGCATCTGTATCTGCCGCGAGCCAGGGGAATGCCAGTGGAGGGAGCCACACGTACCACTCCGCCAAATCACCAGGGCACCCCTCTCTGCGTGACGGGTCGGTACTCGCCAGCCACCGAAGTTCGCTGCTCTCTCCTCCCTTAATGTCGCCTCCGCAACCGCCACAGGAGCGCCACAAGGACCCCTCCGCCGCTGTCTCCGGGCCTTACCAACGTCTGGCTGCGCAACGCACACCAACGTGCGCCTCGTCTTACGCATCCACACCGTCGTACGACCCGCACCAGCAGCACCGCTCACGTGTCACTTCTGCAAGACCGCCAACGGCAGTAATCCAACTTCAAGGCATCGCGGGAGAGAACTATCGGCATTTCGCCTCGCTGCCGCCCCCTGTGGCGGCTCCGCTGGCGGCTATTGTTTTTCTCACAAAGTCGGCTGGAGAGCAGAACCTCAGTCGTGTGACCTTCATGGCTGCGAGCACGTACTATAACCAGCTTATTGAGGCTGGTGTGCTGCAGTCTCCTGCACCACAGGGGGCGCATCCGTCTCGCTATCCGAAAAATAACATGCCTCCGTTGGATACCTTTAGCTTCTCATCACTTATGACAAACGTTCCTATCCTCTCCTTTGTGTATGAGATGCGCTGCCGTTGGCAGCACCTGGGGCTTTTGTCTGACCCGGGAAGCGGAGGGCACTCGCGGTCGAATTCGTTAAGCAGCTCTACTATCCTTGCTTCCTCTGCTGTTCCTCCATACCTGGCACGTGAGGACATGGAAATGTGGATCACCGATGACAATATGTTCCATGGCCGCATCGGAAAGGAACTTGCGGAGCGACTGTGTTACTCGCTCGCGGAGAAGCCTGAAGTTATTTCGAGGCGTGTAGAGCCTCTGCCTGGTGATGACACATTTTGGCGTTTCCGTGGCCTCGTGGACCGAAACTGCCCACCGCCACTCCCCCGCAGCGAGGGCGGCGACACGGACATTGATGAGCTCGATGTGTACGTAATGGGCGCCGCAGTGATGGACGGTTTTGACGAGGGAGATGTGCTGCGCTTCGACACAGAGCATCACCTCTGGGTTGCAGACCGCACCATTCCGCTCGACGCTGTGGTGCTGGCGGCGGTGCGGCCGCACTCCAGGGCGGCACGCGAGGCCCCGCCCGATGACCCTGGCTGGGTGATGCGGCCGGAAGACACCGAAGATGAGGAAGAAGCAGAGGAAGAAGTTGAAACGGAATTAGAGGAGATGGAGGAAACGAAAGCAAACGGGGTAGTGGAGGCCGGATCCGAGACGGCATGCGAAGACAGGGCGGAGGGGGCGACGGAAAAGAAGAAACGACAAGTTCATGTTCGGAAGGGGAACTTTTACATTTACCGCTTTGAACTGAATGGCAGGACGTACTACCACGGCACCGTCCCAGACTTCGCAAATCCTAACAAGAAGAATGTACAGCAGGCCCTTCTTGCATCAGAGAAGCTGGCAACAGGCGTCGGGGCTGCGAAGGGCACACCGCTTTTGTCTCCCAACAGCGCCTCCTTTAAGGAGGAGATACAACAGCAAAACGGGAGCCGAGGAGGCGCTGCGAGGGATGCCAAACTCCCCTCCATCACGTCGGCGCTCTTTTCACTCATGCCTGACGGCGCAGCTGATGAAGGAGAGGCGGAAGGTGTTGCATACTTGCCCACACGTGTCAAGTCTGTGGCGATCGACGCGGCGAGACGGTGGATGGGGACATTGTTTCAGTACGCAATGGGTGGCCACCAGGTGGCGGGGAGTACCGCGTCGATTCCACGCTCGTCGGGTGTCTCAACTCCTGTGTCGCGGCGGCAGGCGACCTTTGTGGAGGTTGGGCCAGGCGCCATGCAGAACGCACTGTCGCAGGAAGGCGTTGAAGAAGGAAAGGGATTCGTCAAGCGCTTCGTTCATGACACGAAATACGTTTGGGATTGGCGAAGATCGTGAGAGATGTATGCTTCTCGGTCAGACTTTTTAAAAGTCTCTTGCTCGTTGTTGCCCCTATATCCGTCATTGCGCCTCGGTCCGGTCTTTTGTATGCTGATGTGGCAAAGATATTTATAACTGCTGTTGATGGTTTTTAAAGGGGAGCATATGGTGCGTAAACATTCATTTTATCTATCAGCGGTGCTTCATTGTGCGCTCTGCCACTTATATACCTTGCTTATTCACCAATATTTCACGACTACCCAAACAGGGGAAAGTGGGCTGTAGTTTCCAACGATAGGTGCACCATCGCGCTTGGTTTTCTCTCCTTCCTCAGTCTCTTTTTCTGTGGGTTGGCGCAGGTATGACTGAAACAGATAAGAGTATTCCCGTTCTTGGCGACATCGTCGAGCGATCGGTGGGTGGCGTTGAGGACACTGCCGATGTCGCACACAATCGAGGCTCATTGCGCCCCATTCAGGCAGTTCTTGGTAGGCCATTTCCATCCCTGCGGTCAAATCATTTTTACGGTCTCCACACGAGCAGCGAGCGCCACCATCTGCACGACGGTGCCCCTGCTACTACCAATATTACTACTACTACGGCTTCTGCTGCTCCAGGCGGGTTCACAGCACACGTTCAACCGACGCTAAACGATAGCGGCGACCAAGCTGGGATGTGTTTACGTGAAGGTGTGGGCGGCCTCGCATCCATGGCGCGCCAGCATCAGTGGGAGCCGAAGGAGTTCGATGATTTGGAAAAAGGCTATTACGCCGTACCACTGTTCTCTAGCACGGGTGAGCCTGCAACAGCAGAAGGCGCGTCCGACGTGGTTCACGGCGAGGCGTACGTGGAATTGTTGCTGCGGTTTCTGTGCAGCACCGTCCGCAAGCATCGCGAGTGTGCTACTGCAGCACTTCTGGAGCGCCTCGGTGTGGACTCTAAGCTGCGGGAAAGGTGTGCCTTCGGCCCTGGATGCGCGCAACTTGTACGCTTCATCATCATGGAGCTTTCTGCTGGACACGCGGTGCCCTGCAGTACTTCTGCAGAGTGCCTCGTCCACCTTTTCTACAACGCCACGGCAGAGGTGGTGGAGGCAACCGGCGAGATCGGCGCTCCACCAACGGACCCTACCGCGTCCTCGAGCGACACGAAAGGCACCACCGCCGATGACGCGACCTTTGCGGAGCTCTCTGAGTGGATGCGTAGCGGTGAGGACAGGTCGCTTACGATGGAGCGGCTGGGACTGACGGTGGCCGTCATGGACGCGCTGGGCCTGCTGCCACCGTCGCTTGCCGCGCGGCTGCTGCTGGGGAGCGGCACACCGTCGC